CCTGAACATCTATCTCCTGTGCTCCCCCTTTCTGCACCTGCATCCCCCAGCACCTGCCCACCCCTGCCGCCTTTTCCATGATGGCACAGGTGGGCTCTCAGGGGCTCTGGAACCCAGAGAGGGGGGTGGTTACCACCCCTGACTCCTGGCCTGCGGGGGGCACCCTCGCCTCCCTTAGTGGTCTGCAGACTCCGAAGGCAGAAGCGCTGCTGAGCTCTGAGGGAGGGAGCTGGTGGAGGGAACCCTGGGGGAGAGCGGGAGAGGGACAATGGCAGGATGGTGTCCCACTGCTGGGATTATTGAGGGCTGTATTCAGCAACGTTACACCCGAACTGCTAAAGAAAAAAGAAATCCACTGCGACAGAGCCTAAACCACACACCAGTAACATGGGAGAAATTGCAAAACTGGGCACGTTGTGGAATCTATTGTGGCTGGAAAAGGGGCCACAGGTTAAACCTGACAAGCTCAGGGGACTTAACCACAAAGGATGGCGTGAACATAAAAATTCCTAGCTAAGGGCCATGGCAGGAAGTCACATCTTTGGCCTGTAGCTTCCTTGACAAAGGTCAATCTTTACCTTAAGCCCATCTGTCATCGTTTTGCATCTAAGATAACATATCCTTACAATATCAGAGTAATCTTTTTCTGGACCTCCCAGGGCACACAATCCACCACACCAGAGCAGGAAACTACAAAGTCACTCATCCTTATGTTGTTCCCCATATGTTATCTCTATGTGCTGTAAAATGCTATTAATTATGCTGTACCCACCAATGCAAAAGAAGTGCGCGTCTCTCCATTTTATTTTATCCAATCCCAGAGATTTCCTCGCCTGCTTAATGAATTTCACATAAACTCCCTCCTTTAATTCTAATGTATAAAATAAGTTGCAAAACGGCCATTTCCTGGAGCATTTTCTCAATCCATTGAGATTTTGTTTCCCAGCAATTGTCGTCAGTTTGGCTCAAATAAACTCAAAAATTTTCTCTTAAGCTGGGATATTTTTGTCGACGCTATTCTACTGATCACCAGTTTATTTAATGGAATAAAATTAAAATGTAGGTAGAAGAGAGAAACCTGGAAAAGAAATACCGCCCAGGCCACAGCTGCAGAAGATGTTTTCAGTACAGTCTCTATTTTCTGACACGTGGTCGAGCTTTCCAGGTGAGAGGCAGCAGGTGGCATCCTGGGGACACACATTTGGCCGCCCCACCTCCTGCCCCACCCCCACCCCCACCCCCAGTGCTGGGGCCCAGGGAGAGATGACAGCCGGGGCACTCAGGACCTGGGTGGGCAGGAAACAATTCAGAGACGTGCCAGTGATAGTGGCAGTGGCAGCAGAAGCAAAGGGGCCCAGGGCAGTCTCAGGATGGGGGGCTGGGGGTGTCACAGGTGCTTCGCATCCCCAGGCAGGATTGCTGGACATGCCTGCCAGGAGCAAGGCTTCTCCAGCTGCAGTGAACGACCATCAACAATGCTGTGAAACGCAGTCATTTCAACCAGAGCAAAAAAAAGAAGAAAAATAAAGGAAAGAAAAATATTCAGCCCCCTCCTCCTCCCGACAGCCTTTAAAATAGAGGAGTATCTCTGGGTACCGAAGAGTTTAGAACCTAAAGGGAACTATAGTCGTGTCCTGTGGCACCGTATAAAGTGCCAGAAACTGAGAGGCTTAAACAACAACAATTTATTCTCTTGAACAGTTTTTAAGGCCAGAAGTCCAAGATCAAGGTGTCGCAGGGCCACGCTCCCTCTGAAGGCTCTGGGGGAGCGTCCGTCCTGGCCTCTCCTTGCTTCCAGAGGCTGCGGGCCATCTTTGGGTTCCTTGGCTTGTAGATGTAGCACCCCGACCTCTGCCTTCACCGTCACGTGGCCTCTCCAGGTGTGCGTATCTGTGTCCAAATGTCCGCTTTATATAAAGACACCAGCCATGTAGGCTTCGGAGCCACCCTACTCTAACTTAGTACAACTGCAATGACCTTATTTCCAAATAAGGTCACATTTTTAGGTGCTGGGAGTTAGGACTCAACTTATGGATTTTGGGGGAACAGAATGTAGCTCATACCAAGCCAAGATCCTATGCAGACGCCTCTACAGGGAGGGGTCCTGAATCCCTGAGGGACCACTGCTCAGGGCAGGGGATAGCAGGCCCCAGATCCTCTGTGGCCCTGAGTCCCGCCTGGCTGTTAACAGTCATTGTATTCCAAGTAGTTCCCCCTTCTTTGTGGGAGGCCAGGCGCCCCACCCACTGCCACACTGTTGACTTATCCCCAGCTGGACCTGGGCAACTGGATTCTAGGAGGTGGGTGGGACTCACACCTTGTCCTGGCAGGAACTCAGGGCATGTAGATTTCAGCTCTCTCTGGCCTCGGTGCTTGCTAGGGACCCACCTCTGGCTTGGCTCCCAGCACCCAGGGCTGAGCCACAGCTGACCTGTGGCCCACAGGTAACTCGAAGGAGAAATCAACGGTGTGAGTCACTGCTGTCTGGGTGGTCTGATATTCCCCCCCCTCCCCACCCCATTAAACAGGCTGGCACTGGAGTGACACCCCTGCAGGAAGGCAGAGACCGCGCCCAGTTCCCTACTGCACCCCTGGGGGCAGACAGTAGCAGGCACCCAGATTTGTGTGATGAAAGAGTGGGTTCAGGGTTCCACAGGAAGAGTTCAAGGCCTCCACTGGCGTTGACCGAGGCAGCTGGAGTCGCCAAGCCCTGTGGCTGCGGCTCACTTTCCTAGACTATCCGAAATGAGGGCGTGCTCGGTGCGAAAGGAAGAAAGCTTTCCTCTCTGCAGAGCTGTCTGAGCTTTGGGGTCAAACTTAGATCTGATCATGGAAGAGCTGCACACCTGGACAAGCAGTGGTTTCTTCCCCGACCCTCTCCTTTCCTGGTTAACCTTCCTCGTTCCCTTTAAGGAAGTCCATTCCAGTCTTCCTGCTCATTAATATCTTCACCATATAAATACTGGCATAGAAATACGGTGTGCCAAGACGTCATACAACTAGCAAATATTAGCCAGTTGACAACAAACCCCCAAATCAAATATTGACTGTTGGATAAGCTGCGTGGGCCACCCCAGGATGCATTTGTCTATAGAAACAGCACCTTTATTAAGGCTGCATGACATCAGCTTGCTTCTCTGGGTATGCAGCCCTCTATCTGTACCTCTGCTGGCCAGCCCGGGTACCTGTTCTTCGCGTTATTGGAGTGGTTGATCTGCGTCAAGGAAAGAAAGAAAACTTGTGAATCAACAAAGATTTCATGTGTCCTTTATGAGCGAAGTCCTATGAGAGAATCACTTCCTAGAATGGAGTTTGCTCCATCCCACACTGGGTGCTTGATTTCCTCTCAACGTGCTTCTTAATAGTATTCGAGCCTGCTTTGAATGCAGCTCCAGGACTTTCTGCAGTGATGTAAATATTCTGTGACTGACACTGTCCAACAGAGTAGCCACTGGCCACATTAGACTATCAAATACTTGTAATGTGCCTAGTTTGACAGATGCACTGGATTTTTAATTCCATTGAATTTTAATAAATTTAAATGCAAATGCAAATTTGGCTGGTAGCTGCTGCGCTGGACAGCACAGTTCTAACGTGCAGCTTTCAATTCTTTGGGAGTAGGACTCTATTTTTTTAGGGTAACTAGAATTCCTAGCTCAGCAAATGTGTGTTCATATGGACACGGGCTTTTGTCCTTTATAGCTTCAATCTTTTACAGATAATGGAGCACCTGAACTCAATGCTCACAAAGAATAATGTGCATTCTAAGCCTTGGAATTATATATCTTTGTTAATATAACAGTTTTGAGATATAATTTGCATACTACAAAATTCACCCTAAGTGTGCAGTTCAATGGTTTTCAGTATAGTCACAGAGATATGCAACCATCACAGTCAATTTTAGGACATTTTCATCACCTGAACAAGAAACCACATGTCCATAAGCAGTCGTTCCCCATCCTCCACAGCCCTAGGCATCCGCAATCTACTTCCTTGTCGCTAAGAATGTTGTTTATTCTGGAAATTTCATGTAAAATGTAATGTGGCCTTTTGTGTTTGGTCTTCTTCACTTAGCACGTTTTCATCCCCGTAGCATGTATCAGAACTGCATTTCTTTATACTGGCTGAATACTATTCTAGTGTACGGCTGCACCATGTTTTATTTACACATTTTTACCCATTAATAAGACCTTTTATCCATTAACAGCTACTTTTTGAACAATGCTGCTGTGCATGTTCATGTACACGTTTTTGTGGGAACATGTTTTCATTCTCTATGGTATGTACCTATGACTGGAATTGTTAGGTCACGTGATAACTGTACGCCTAACTCTTTAAGGAATTGCCACAATGTTTCTCAAAGCAGCTGTGTTGTTACACTTCTGCAACAATGTATGAAGATTCTAAATTCTCCATACCTTTGTCAATGCTTTCAGTGATGTCTTTTTTATTATAGGCACCCTAGAGAGGGTGAGGTGCTCTCTTATTGTGGCTTTTATTGGCATTTTCCTGGTGGCTAACGATGTCTATGTTTTCATGTGCTTGCTGGCATCTGCATGTTTCCTTGGAAGATATGTTTATTCAGATGCTTTGCCCACTTTAAAGTTGGGTTCTTTTTCTTTTTTTTCCTTTTTTTTAGCTGAGCCATCCTGCCACCTGTTGGCAGCTCAGCAGCTGCTCAGCTCGGGCTGGGCTCGAACTGCTGTTGCTCAGAGCTCGCACTCTTGAGCGAGCTCTTAACCAACTGAGCCACTCGGCTGGCCCTTATTTTTCTTTTTACTATTGAGTTGTTAAGAGTTCTTTAGGTACTCTGGATACAACTCCTTTATTGCAAATATTTTCTCCCATCCTGTTTATTTTTTCACTTTCGAGGTGGTATCCTTTGAAGCACTTAAGTTTTAAATTATAATGAAATGCAATTTATCTATTTTTTTCTTTTGTTGTTTGTGCTTTTGGTGTCATATCTAAGAAACCTCTGCCTAATCCAAGGTCACAAAGATTTATGGCTACGTTTTCTTCGAAGAGTTTAATGGTTCTAGCTCTTTTATTTAGCTGTTTGACCCATTTTGACTTAATTTCCACACATGGCATGAGGTAGCAGTCCAAATTCCTTCTTTTGCTTGTAGGTATCCAGTTGTCTCAGCACCACTTATTGAAAAGACCACACATTCCCCCATTAAGTGGTTTTGACGCCCTTGTCAAAAATCAATTGACCCAAAAAGTGTGGTCTTACTTCTGGACTCTCGGTTCTATTCCATTGGTCTCTGTGTCTATCTTATGCCAGAACTGCACCATCTTGATCACTGTAGCTTTGTGGTGAGTTTTGAAATTGGAAAGTGCGAGTCCTCCAACTTCATTCTTTTTCAAGGTTGTTTTGGCTATGCTGGGTCCCTTGAATTTCCACATGAATTTTAGGATCAGCTTGTCAATTTCTATAAAAAAGCCAGCGGGGATGTTTAAGGGGGAGTTTGGATGTGCACATGGGATGGGGCCACCATTTTCTCATAAGAATCAAAGCAATGGGTCCACGCTCCCTGTGCATCAGAATTTCCTGGCCAGGTCTCGCCCTCTGAGCTTCTAGTTCAGTTGGCCTGTGTAGGGCCTGGGCATCCGTGTGTTTAAGGAGGATCAGGCTAGGGTGGACTGGTGAGAAAGAGCAGAGGAAGCTCTGCAAAGGCGCAGCTGCTCTGGATTGCAGGGCTCTACGCTCAGTCCGTCCCTGGCTGAGCCCATGAGTTCCTTGTTGCTTCCACTTAGCCCCCTTTGACTCTGACATGATAGGTGCTGTCTTTATTCTTTCTCACAGGGGTTGATTCTGAGGCACAGACAGGTTAAGTGAATTGCCCAAGACCACACAGCTAGGTGGACAAAGCCTGGAGATCATAAGATGCTAGACTGGTACCGATCATACAAGGGGTGGAGGAGACAGTGGTCCTGGATCACCACGAGAGTCAGCCTGAGAGGAAAGCCAAGGACAGATGGGGCCCGTAGCCACGTCACAGCTGCTAGGCCCTGAAGCATTACCTGGCTTTCATGTCACTGCACAGATCAGGAAACTGGAGCCAAATGTGGCGAGGTGGCTTGTTGAGGATCAGGGTGGCCCCTGCCAACCTGGCAGTGGACATCAAGCCCCCTCTCCCAGCCGCGCCTGGCTCACCTCACTCCCACAGGGCCAGGCAGTGGTGACTGAGGGGCACCAGGGGGTGCCTCACTCATTGGGACAAGTCCATGAGGTCTCAACTGAACACCAAGGTCATGGGTAATGAGCGGGCTGGACAGGGGCCCCAGGGAAATGCTCCTGACACGTCCCGCAGGACCTGCTTCCTGGCCGTGGAAGATCATGGGATTTACAAAGAGAAAACATGCTTTTCGATGCATGCTAAAATAACCATGAATCCCGAGCCTCCAGAGGGCATCGGAGCAGCTCTAGGGCTTTCTTTGGGTGTCAGTCACAAGTTATCTGGTTGTGCGGCCACACTGAAGTCACACTCATCCACTCCTTTCTCCTCTGCCTGCCAACAAAGAGAGGCCCAGCCACCTCGCTGCTTCTGTCTTCCTTCCCGGGCCCTTCATCATGCCAGGCGTGCAAGGAGGGGACGTCAGAAGCCACCTGTGGCGCGCCCTGGAGACATTCAGACCTCTGCCCCTCTGAGTTGCTAGCTTGTGGAAAAAAGCCCTTCTCTTGGCAGGCAGCCAGGTCCTGTTCCCTGAACCTCCTGTGTTCAGCACCGGTTCCTGGAGTGGGACTCACTGACAGGGGCAGTGCTACCTCCCCGTCCCCAGAGGCGTCAGCTTGTAAATCCTGTGACATTTTGCCAACCCTCAGCCGGAACTCTCACAGGCGACGAATACATTCCAACCTCATTCCTTTTTTTGTTTTTTTAGCTGAGCCATCCTGCCGCCTGTTGGCAGCTCAGCTCGGGCTGGGCATCAAATCGCTGTTGCTCAAAGCTCACACTCTAGAGCGAGCTCTCAACCAACTGAGCCGCTCGGCCGCCTGAACCTCATTCTTTTGCTGTTTACTTTTCTTCAATAAATAAAGGACTTCATGGGAGGGGCTTCAAATCAACCATGCAACAAGTGATGGCGGCAACAACAACGGAAGCTACGCGTATCCAGTGTTTGTCTGGTGCCCGCCCTGTTTTAAGTACTTCACGCGGACAGGCTTGGTCATCTTCTGGACCACCTTCATGGGCAGCACTGTCCCTGTCCCCAGACAGAGGCAAAGGACCGAGGCGTGGGGCCAACTGCGTCGGCTGCAGCTTGGTGGAAGATCAATACCAATAGCCGTGCAGAGTTTTCTAGTCTAAAGCAATCTGAGAATTGAAACTTCGGTCAACTGCCTTTCTAATGCTCATCTAATGAGAAAGGTTTCTGAACATCTTGTAATGGACTGTTTTACTTATAATAACCTATCAAGTGCCTACTAAGTGGAAGGTGTGGCTTTTCCCGGATTTAGGAATGAGGAATCTCAGGCATAGACCCCTGAGTGGAGAAGTGAGCAGTTAGCCCCAGGGGCCTGAGTGGCATGCACCCTACACAGGAATGTACTGGAGACAGGAAGATATAACCAACCCTCAGCCTTCCAAATCACAGCTCACACTATACTAACCATTTGTGGGAAGGGACATTTAAAAACCACTCACCTTTTGATAAGTTTGCACGGTGACAGATGGTTCTTAGACTTGTCATGGCAATCACATCGTGAGGTATGTAAACGTTGAATCACTATATTGTACATGTGAAACCAGTATAATATTGTGTGTCAACTGTACTTAAAAAAGACAGCCACCAGCGCTCACCTTTTCTCTCTGAATTCCTGCAGGAAGTTCAAAGCCTTTAGCTGTGAGAAACACCCAGCTCGACCTGAATTTCATGTTCCTGATTTCTTTACTCCCAAGTGCTTCTATGGCCTTCTTGGCGTCCTCCTTCAGCCTGGGGGCAAAGGTGAGAGAGTCTGAACGTCCCTGGGGAGGCTCCAGTGTGTCACACCGTGTTGGTCCTAAGACAGAGGTTTCTAAAGGAACTCATCTCCGGGAATAGAAACAGAAGGCAAAAGGCGCCCATGATGGGTCAATAGGTCAGATTTCTGGTTAAACAGGTGACAACGCCCAGGACTCTTTAAGCCTCAGTTTTGGGCACAAAGTTGTAACTCCCCGCTCTGAAATGCCCTGGTGTCTTTGGGTTCCATCGCGTCCTCACACTCAGCCCATGTGCTTTACGTTCCTTGATAGCTCTCTGGTTTACTGACCACAACATGAGGCGCCAGACGTTGTGGAAAATGAAATCAAAGACCGTCCCTTTCCTATTCAGAAAAGCCAGTGTCAAAAAAGAAAAACCATAATCTAAAACGCCACTCCCGTTGTAAAAGGCGGGCGACTTAGAGCAAACCAAGGAAGGCCGCTAGAAAGGAACAGGAAAAGAGGAACAAGTTCAGATTTTCCCAAACGAGTTACACTGGAGGCTTTTCCCAGTGAGTATCAAAGAACGTCAGTCTGGTAAGAAACTATTAAAAATAAAATCTGAGGGCTGGCCTAGTGGCGCATTGGTTAAGAGTTGGCTTGGGACGCCAGCTCTGAGCAGCAGGGCCCCGGTTCGGATCCCACATATGAGGGCCAGTGACACTGCACCCTCTACGGCTAAGATGCTGAACAACAGCTCAACCTGGAGCTGGGCTGCTGTGAGTCGCCGGTGATGGCGTAGGCTGCAGCCCCTGCTGTAGTGGGCTGCCATGAGCCACCGTGAGTGGCTGGCAGCCAGTGTGAGCAGCCAGCAGCTGGCGTGAGCTGCTGTCCAGAGCCCAGCAACCGGTCTGCTCCACCCAGGAAGAGCATAATGATAATACCAACATAGGCCAGTGAAGCGATGTCCTCCACAGCTAGACTGAAGGAAAGCAACTTGTCTGTTCCCCTCCCGCAATTCCCCAATAAAATCTTAAAATAAATAAATAAATTAATTTAAAAATAAATAAATAAAATCTGAGGTCAAAGACATCCGTAGCCCCACCTTGGAAATTCACAGTAATGCAAATGAGCACTTTGAGGTTCGTGGCCCTTTGGCAGTGAACGCACTTTTACTTAGAAGAGCACAGGTGGGGGCACCAAGCTAGATCAGCTGCTCCCCAGGGAACGCACTGCACATGCATGTGTGCGCGTGCGTGTGTGTGTGCGCGTGCGTGCGTGCCTGCGTGCGTCCTTCTTTGGCTCTTCATAGAGGCATTTCCTCAGTTTCCTTTCACATTTCTGTAGGTCCCACCGTGGGCGCAGCTCTCCTGGCCACACTATTCTAATTATGGTCTTGCTACCTGCATGCACGCCTTGGCTTCTGTGCTCCACCGGCTGGCCCTGTTTTTAGAGACACTGTCTGTTTTGTCATGATCTCCATTCCTTTTCCTTAAGGAAGCATCTTGCTCCTTGGAGTTTTGCTCTTTCCGAGAGGAGGCAGTGAGGCCTGGTGCTCTGCACCCAGTGGGCTTCTCTTCCCCACCCCCACTGCTGTGACAAAGCTGCACACACACACACACTCACCTGCTGCTGCCATCATCGTGCGTCACCATGAAGAGCAGGGACTTCCCAGGGGCACCCTTAATGAACTTTGTCATCGGTCCGGAGTTATCTGCCGGGTCAGTGCAAACCAGTTTTAGGATCTCTGTTAACTGAGGCTCTTGCCTTACGTGCTGTGCTTCCTCTGTCCCATGCAAATGGCCCTCCAGCTCTTTACTAGGAAACGGCTGCTGGCCTTCCACAGTGGGACTGTTGGAAGGGAGCAGCTCGATCGGATGGTCAAGATTCTGTCGATCAAACTCAAAACCAGCAACAAGTTTGGCAGCCCACATGGAGTGTTGTCTACAATTAGTAAGAATGCCCGGCCCACGCGCGTGAGCATCCCAGGTCAGAGCAGCCCCAGGCCCTGACGTGCAGGGCAGGGAGGAGGAATACAGAGAGATGCAGGCCAGGCCGGGCAGGGGCACGTCTTTGCTAAGAGACCTCTCTGTGCCTTACAGGAGAAAAGGGGAAGGTTCATCGCAAACCCCGTTGCCCCGTTATTTACCACTGGGGGCTGTTATTCATAGTTATGCTTAAATGTACTGCAGAGAAAAAAGGTGCATTTCCTCTGAAGATGCACCCAGGCATTTTCTCATTACACTTCCCCATTATTCTCATAGAGGCTTGTTTTCTCATAACTCTCAGTGTGAAACACATTAAAAGGGGCTGCCATATCCTGGCCGGCAATGGCAGTCAAGACCCGGTGCTGGGAGGGGAGAAAGTGTTGAGGGAAGTGGGCACCGCGGGGCCAGGCATGGGTGGCGAGCCCAGTGGGGACCAGGCACGTACGGTCATTGTGGTCACACGAAGTCAGGGCTGGGTGCTGACTGTATTACTGTACATATATTTGATTTTAAAAATGTTTTCTCTTTCTCCTTATCCAGTGAGGGGACAGAAGGAGCAGACCCAGGACAAGGGTGATGGGAGAAAGGAAATTTTCTAGATAAGGCCTTCAGACCTGATGATCTGAACTCAACTAGAGGCGACGAGGGTTTATGGACGAGCGTTCCAGAAGACTCACGTGCGCTTCTGGCCATTTTCTTAGCAGACAAAATAAAAATGTGTGACATTTTGTTTGTGCTTTTTTTTAAAACAAAAATCTTAGTTTATGTTTATAATTCATTTAAATTTTAACAGGAAAAGAGTTTTCTTACCACCTTCATACATATCAAAATACTGTGCTGCTATCACTTTCCCAGTCATATCTGAAAATAAAAGAAACAGTTTTTAAAAGAAAGTTCATCAGGACTCGGGGTGCCTGTGTGGCCCCCAGTTCTCAAAATGGGGTATTTCTTCTCTGTCTCTTTCCAGGAAGCATGCCACTGTGATGACGCAGCCTGAAGAAAGGGCTGCCTTCAAGGAGAGCTGTGACCAGGGCAGCCTCAGAGAGAAAGGGCCCCTCGGCTGCTCTAAACTTCCTTCCTGGCTGCGTCCCCTGAGATTTGATGCTGTCGCACCTGTCTCTTCGCACAGAGGCACTATAGCCCCGCCTCAGCCCTTTCTACTTTGTGTATTTTTTTTTAGCTGAGCCATCCTGTTACCTGTTAGCAGCTCAGCGGCTGTCGGGCTGGACTAGAACCGCTGTTGCTCAGAGCTCAAACTCTTGAGCGAGCTCTTAACCAACTGAGCCACTCGGCCGGCCCATAGCCCTTTCTACTTTGTACGTTAGGTTCCCCGCCGGGTTATCATATGGGGTACATTGTGTCTTGGGTTCTGGACAGTGATCTCAGCTTGCTCACAGGGACACTGTATGACACCCCCTTTGTCCAACCTGCTACCACTCTTATTGTCAGGGGACCCCCGTGGCAATCGTGACAGAATGTTTTTCCCAGGTCTAAGCAGAGGCTAGAGTGCTCCCTCCCCGACCCAGGCCCTAGTCACCTTCTATTACACAGAGGTGGAACTGGCCTGGCTAGTAGTGTCACCCTGCTGGGCCACCAGGAAACACAGAGCAGGTGTGGCTCAATTTGAGGACAGTGTGTGGTCCTAGGTCTGCTCAGCTGGCTTTAATCTTGCCTTCTGCCAGTCCTACTTTGTTTTTTTTTTAAAGTCTATTTATATTTGGATTCAGTTTTTTTGTTTTTGTTTTGTTTGGTAGAAACCACAAATAATCTGTAAAGTGAGAGGCATTGTAAAAATAACTAAATGTTTACTTTTAAAATACATTAAAATAAAGGGCCGGCCGAGAGGCTCAGTTGGTTAAGAGCTCCCTCAAGAGTGCGAGCTCTGAGCAACAGGGTCGCTGGTTTGATTCACAGCCGAGTTGAGCTGCTGCTGAGCTGCCAACAGGTGGCTGGATGGCTCAGCTAAAAAAATAATAATAATAAAATAATAATAATAATAAAAATAATAAAATACATTAAAATATAAACCTAGACTAGGTTGTGTGCGAAAATCATCGAAAACCCAAGGTATCTTCAACAATCATTTCACGGGGCTTGTAGAGAAGCTCTAAAGAAAACATTTAATAACTTACAGTTGACAATGGCAATATTTATTCCTCTCCCTACATTTCCAGTCTTTTCTCCTATGAGCCTGAAATGTAAATAAACATTAGTCAAAAACGTCCTTTCTTTTAGTGGCTAGTAGCCCTCCTGCTCTGTCAGATCTTCTCTTGGCAGAATCGCTGCCCCATGCATTGCCCCTCACGGGTCCCTCACAGCTGTGCACTGGCCTGACCCAGCTCCCTTGAAAGTCACCCCCACACCCACTCCACACACATCTATCCCCAAGTTTCTACAGACTGAGTCCCTCAGGGAACCTGGAAACTGCATTTAATCTTATAATTTAGACAAATGGTCAGGAGGAGGAAAATCTAATATTTGTTTAGCACAAGCTCTTTATAAATATGTGTTCACTGAATCCTCAAGCACCGAATCCTCACCCACCTGATAAGCCACTCATTTTTCTGTTCGAAGAAGAAGAAGAAGAAGAAGAAGAAGAAGAAGAAGAAGAAGAAGAAG